TTCAAATTAGTGTTTTGGGTTTCTTCAGATATAAACCCAGAAGTAGCAGCTGTAGAACTGAGTCATAAGTCAGTTCCATTTTTAATTTACTGAGAAACGTAGGTGTTTATTCCTGCATAAACCTCAACATATAAAACAGATCTGTTCTTATATTCCTCTCAATACTGAATACACGAGAAAAAGAAGACATGTACTACTTGGGGAAAAAATAGTATTCAAGCCTTCCCTTCTCCCTAGTCACATGTGGATACTATCTCATTCCAGAAGGAGCAAAGTGGTAGGAAAATATTCAGAAAGACTAAGCAGTCATGTGACAAGTCAGTACTGTGAATATTAAAGTTATCTTCCCTCCATCTTTCATGGTAAGTTTTTTTTTGCCACTTCTGGTGATAGGCAGAAATGTTTCCAAAACCAGGCAGAAGAACTTACTTGAAAGGCTTGCCTCAGTGTTGATCTCATTATGTTCTAATCAAAGGTCTTCTTCAGTATTACCCAAATCCAGCCAGTGTGCTAGCAGTCTTTGGGTAACAGAGTTGGGTTTTAGGTGCCACTGAAAAACACCCTTTTGTCATTTTGGCACAGTAATTCACAACCTTCACTGCACAGCAGAACCACCTGGGAAGCTGCATAAAAATGCAGTTCTGTGGAACTTGCCTCCACAGATCGTAATTCACTGTGGGTCTGTCCAAAGACTTAGGAATCTGATTTTACAGCACACTTTTAAGGAGATTCTAATACTGCAGCATCTAGGGCACTCTTTGCAAAAACAAATCTAGCATCTCTCAAGATAAATTGAAAAAAATTTTTGCATATAATGGATTCTTATACATATGACCCCATATCTTATACCTGTTTATATATAACTTATAAACAACTAATATTATGAATATTATAATTCTTTTATCTGTGCATGAGGAATTGGTTGGCAGATGTTCTTAATAATACAATATTTTTTAACCATGGTAATATGACACAATTGTGTGTTACAATCAGGTTTTAGGTGTATATAAAGCACTAGTTGTTAATGACATTTAAAGTAAGTTAGCTATTTTTAACAAATACGTTAGAGGTTTTTGAGGTTATCCATATAATAATGGTATTTCCCTTGATTTGAATTTTTAAAAAGATTTTATGTTTTTATTTTTAGAGAGAAGGGAAGGGAGGGAGAGAAAGAGGGAGACATCAACGTATAGTCACCCCTTGCATGCCCCCTACTGGGGACCTGACCCACAACCCAGGCATGAGCCCTGACTGGGAATCAACTGGTGACCCTTTGGTCCTCAGGCCAGCACTCAACTCACTGAGGCACACCAGCCAGGGCCCTTTACTTGAGTTTTGATATGCTTTACCCAATGGGAGAGGCAGGGTTGAACCAGAGCCCTGGTGCTTTAAGAAAGGCAGAACACCCTGAGGGCCAGGTCATCACTGCTCTTGCTACTGTGTCTGTGGAATGATGCACTGTGTGTCAGTTTATTCCCATAGAAATATAATTTTTTGGTTTCTTAAAAAATCTGTGTTAAATGTAAACATGAGTCATGTATATCAATGTCCCTGATTATGTTAACTTTTACTGATGTGAAGAAAAATAATAAAGGTAAGAAGTTGCAGGCATTTTGAAACTGCTGAGGTTCACTGCTTTACAAAGCAGAACCCAAAATAAAATTGCACAACTGTGGTTTTGAAATGCACAAAGAAAAGTGTGTCAATACTCTGATACCTGAAAGAGAGCACATGATAATAAAATATGGATGGTATCATTTGTTTTTTGTTTCCAATAGAGGGGAGGAAAATATAAAAACAATATTTAGTAATCAATGGTCTCCAGTAATCAATAAGAGAATAGATTTCCCCCCTGCTTTCAGTCTAATAGTCTTGCTTTGTCCTCTAACCAACCAGTCTGGGAAACAACATACTCTTGCCTCACAAAATTTACACCTTTAAAAAAAAGTAGTGCAAATTTTGCAAAAAAAAAAAAATTTTGAAGTAGGGAAGATTTGGGTCTTCTCATTGACCCAACACCCTCTAGATCCAACACCCGCCCCACCCACGTCAGCACCGGACCTTTGGTGTGGTTCCTGTATTTGTGCTGAAGATCCGAAGTTGCTCTTGACCATCTTTAAATTATGAGTAGTATCTTTTCTAGTGCATATAAAATGTTTCTGAGTTCTCTTCCTTGCATTTCTGTTACACTTCTCTGTCAGAGAATTCACACAGTACTCTTCCTGGGCGCTCTCACAATCCTCCCCCACTCTTGCTCCTTAGAAGATGGTTGGAAAATGAAAACAATAAATAAATAAATAAATAAATAAATAAATAATTTTAAAACACCAGCAAATCCTAATGATCTCTGGCAGCCTTGAAAAAAATATTTTAGGAAAAAATGTTTTGAGGTCATTAACAAGGTTACAAATTTGTCAGGAATGTGGGAGAAAAATGTCTTCTTATTATTTGTTATATTCGTGGGCTCTAATTCTCCATTTCTCTAGTTGAACTTTAACTTAATTCTAAAACAAAATCTATAGCCGCAGCCAGGCCTAGTGGTGGAGACTGTACAACTAATCAGCTTTAATTCCCTGGGTTCGATTTAATTACAAAACAACATTTGGTGCAGCTGCTAAACACTTACTAGGTGGCCGACCGCATGGTAATAATGCTGGAGTAGTGTTTACAGCTCTCCAGCTTTTGCTCTGGTTCCATCAGCTCAATTATGGTTCAATTGTATATAAATTTGAACAGCCTCTAAGATATATAATAATAGGGATTTTTCTTGGTTTTATACACCTCTGTGGCTGAGCCAGTTAAAATATTGAGCTGCACTGCAACTAATTAATGTCAGGAGGTAAAGTTTAATGATGAGAGAAATGTACTGATAAAGGACACTGATAAAAATTGAATATCGATACCACAAATCTTATCTTTTATAATTTGTGCTTTCTGTGAAATAGACAAAGTGAAATCAGCTTGTGTATACTGTGAGTTATCAATTTGCCTTTTAAGTTGTAACACATGTTACTTTTCAGTATAACTAGACATAGCTAACTCACTCTCTCCTTCTTCTTTCATGTTCCACAAGTCAATTTAGGAAGTGAATATTTGTGTTACAAAATATGTTAGCTAACAAAATTAGAATTAACCAGTCATACTTTTAAAATAACCAGTTTATCTAGAATATTTAAAATATACTCAATTTGCGTAAACATTCAGGAATATCACTGCAGTAAGTGAGATCTGATTTTTCATCTGATAATATTTGGGCAGCAATTTCACATGTACTGAAATTTTCATCTTAGCATTTTTAATTTTTATTTTAGCTCACCCAAATATATCTTTTACCACATGTAGGATCCCAGGTCCTCCCTAGGTCTGAAGGAGGATAAGGAAAATTATTTGAATTGAGGGGAAAAAAATCAAGAAGTAGTATCAGCAAGAGAGTCACTAATGACAGCAACTCAGAAGATAACACAGAGTGCCATCTAATCCAAATTAAGATTTGTAGTGGGAGTACAACTGCAACAGAATGCATTTTTTTGCTTTGTTTTTTCCTAGATGCCAATCTCCTTCTATTCTTTCCCTTTAGGATAGATCTAGGTAAAAGCTAAAGAGAGGATACATCATAGCTAATTACATTTATAGACACAAAAAAAGCAGAATACACAAAATTCACTGTAAACTCCCTAGAGCAATAATCCCTTTCTTCACCTGCCAGCCTCAGGTGCCAGTTTGGATTTTACCTGGTGCTGTTCTGCAAGACCACCTTGGACCCTGGACAAAGAGCACACTGTACATTTCAATGTCAAAAGGCTAACGTCTCTGTACTAAGAGTGTCTGCCATGCTCTTACCCCAGAGAGTATCTTTCTCTCCTGAACAGTGACTGCTTCACAGGAGGCAATGATTCTGCAAGGGGGAGGAAAAATAGGATGGAAGGACTTGTGATGGTTACCGGATATTCCAGTGCCCTGGAGAGGGCACCAGAATGTTCCTGTGCATGCTGTAAAGAGCAAAGACCACCAAACCAGGGGTCCCTGGGGCATGGTGCCCATGCTGCTCTGCTGTGTAGAGCCCTGGGATTCGAGAGTAAGAGGGGACCTTAGGGATGATGTGAGCCAGAGGCTTTAAACTGTGTCTGGGGAAGTTCTCTGTTTCCTAAGTGTGACTCAGCGATGGCTGAAGAGAAAGGGGACCTCCTGAAAACAGTACCACCACCCTTAGAGAGAATGCGAAAATCTTATATCACAGCTAACGAGACAGGATAGTTTACCAAACAAAAGTCAACTGTAGAAGTCCAAGGTCATTCCTGTGGTTCAGGAAAGAACCTTGTGGAAAATAACCATCCCAGTGACTCAATGACATTCCTAGAGGCGATACCCCTAGAGGCCAGGATGACTCAGGAACTCTAGGGTGAGAGAGGCCTGGTGGATCCAGAATCTGGAAATTAAATTATACCACTAAGATATAATATCAGGGCAGGGGGAAATAAAGCCTTCTCAAGACAAGCTAACCAATGCTTACAATCCTTCTTATTTTCTAGAGAAATTAAAAAAAAACACTTTGAAAAATGTTACCTTCTGTTGCTATTGTAAAAATTGACAATTTAATACATTGTTGGCCTAATGATGATTTACTTTTGATTCTATATTACTTGTTTGCAAATTAAGGAATATCCTGTGGTTGTTCAAAGAACCACTCTACTATCACCACTAGAAAGAAAGAAAGAAAGAAAGAAAGAAAGAAAGAAAGGAAGGAAGGAAGGAAGGAAGGAAGGAAGGAAGGAAGGAAGGAAGGAAGGAAGGAAGGAAGGAAGGAAGGAGAAGAGAAGAGAAAGGGAGGGAGGGAGGGAGGATGAGAGGAAGGAAGGGCATGAGCTATGAAAAGAAGCAGCAGCTATTTTTGTGTTTGTAAATGGAACCAATTATGATGAAAGAAAATGAGATTTTAACAAAAGGTGAATCATAGGGTTAGACGGACATTTATAGAAGCAGGACAGGTACATCTGTCTCACCATCACTGTTGATGCAGACAACCTCTTGAACTTGAGTGCCTGGACCACACTCTTTTCCATTATCTGGTTCACAGTCTCCAAGCCTCACTGCTTTCCACTCATAGCAGGATGGCTCCTCACAGGGAATGGCTTCCAGTAAGTGGGGGCAGTTCCCGATGCCCCCAGAGCCTCCGGTGGGCTCGTTGGTAATGCGCCGCTTCCTCAGTTTGAAACCTGCATTATGGGGGAAGGAACATATTTATTGCTACCTTCCTGGGTTGGATATTGCAGAAGGCTGAAAGAAACCCTGAACGAAAGCAGGTAGAGTCATTTCTGCTTTAATCACTGGTACATCCCCAAACTCTAGCTTAATGTGAGCTCATTAATAATTATTAAATGTATCAATGAATGAATACACAGAATGACCAATAAGGAACTTTTGGTGTTAGCTTACTATAGTAAAAATAAGGCAAGGCATGGCTAGGATCTCCCATCTCCCCCAGGTCTGGGGCAGATAGAGAGAGAGAGATCAATCTAGACTGATTTTGCTTGACTTAGAAAGTCTGTAGTTATAAGGTATTCAAAGAAGCAATGAAATCTCAAGTTGTTCAGAAATATTCATGACCAGACAAAAGTGGTGTTACTCCGAATTCTTCAACACTAGACCACACGATTAAATCTGAAAAGAAACCTCTGATAAGTTGGATAGTACCAGAAAAATTGACTCTCGGAGACTTAGTTGATTTTAGACTCCCCGGAAATTTGAATTAGGGATATAAACCATCTGGCTCTTATGGGGAGTATTCAATGTCCTGCTCGGTGCCTTAGTAGCACCTAAATATTGCCTTTCTGGATAATGTATGACAAAATTAGTGTCTGTTTATTGCTATGTGGACTTATTAGAATCGGTAGGACCACTGTCCTTTAAAACAAAATAGGAAAATGATTTCAATTTCTAGATCATGTTAAAATTACCCCACAATGCCTACTGAATGATAAACCATGCATTTAATCTACTCTCCTTAGATATGTCATTTGCATCATAAAAGGAATGGCATTCTGTTTTGTTTTTACTTTTTTTTTTAAGATTTTATTTATTTATTTTTAGAGAGGGAAGGGAGGGAGAAAGAGAGAGAAAGAAACATCAATGTGCGGTTGCTGTGGGTGGTAGCCCACAACCCAGGTATGTGGCCTGACTGGGAATCGAACCTGTGACACTTTGGTTCGCAGCCCGAGCTCATGTGTTTACTTTTAAAGGAATGAGTTCTGTTTGTTAGGCACTAGCTATGGGTCAGGCACTGAATTAAGATCTTTGTTTATGATCTCATTGAATCTTTAGAGAAAATTTGGGTGGCAGATATTATTACATCCTCCTTACAGATAAGGGGATAAAGATTTAGATTAGCTAGTTAACATGTCTAAACAATGTGGGACTGAGTAGGTTTTCCAATCCAGATCAGTTTCACAGCATAGTTCATAATAGCTCCTGTACAAAATTGCCTTATACGTTCTCTGTTCATCTGTTGTCAAAATTAACAAGTATCTTGCCTACTTTCTTAAGTTTTACTTCTCTGGGGTCATCACCAGAGTAGGTTTATTCATCTTTTGCAATCACTACTCTTTAGCCATTCTGGAAATTATCACAAATAAATAATCGCAAGTAACACAGAGTGACATTTTAAGATAATTCATGGTTTGACTCGATTGGTGGAAGTTTTAAGGTTCGTGAGGTCATGTTAACAGCACATACCTTTTTTGCCTTGCTGGTCACTACAGTTTTCGTAAGTGCAAGGTCCCCAGGCCGACCAAGGTGAAACCTCACATTCGATTGGACAGGGAATGTGGCACAGCTGGGTGGTGTTGGGGTCAGGGCCAGTGCACAATTTCAAATCCACTGGTTTTGAGGCTGTTTGGAGAAAAATACAGAGATTCCTTAAGAATTAAGATTGTTGACTATTACGGTCAACAATCAGACTGTTCTTCATGTATGGAGAAGAGAAATGTTTAAAAAGTGCCACCAAGAAATTATTCCAAAGTTTCTCAGCTACACAGTGAAAAAAGGAGAAGGAGTGGGGGAAGTGGCAGGACAGTGTGGTCACCGGGAACGGACCAGAGGCCGAACGGACCAGAGGCCTCACGGACTGACCGCCAGCCTCACAATTAATTCGTCACACAGTTAATAATGCTGAGTCTAATTTTCCTAGGTGGTAAAATAATCCTTAAGGTCAATTTTATGTCTTAAATTCTGCAGTCAGATCCTAAGAAAGTTGTATTTCCTTTAGAGGATGGAACACAATAGGAGAGAGACCGCAGCTTTAATACGCATAGCAAAATACATATTGTGGCTTCCGGTGGCACAGTCTCCCTTTTCTTTGGGTCCCAGAGCAGTAAAGGGTGGGTGTTTCAGAGGAAGAGCTCATGCCACCCAAAGAGGCATCTCTCTACCTCCAGCTGTGTGACTCACCAGATACTTTCCAGAACTTTTATGGAACACATCATCTGCACATGTGATTCAAATCTCAGAACTGTTAAGGAGACACTTTTAATTATCCATGTCTGTTCATAAGTGGACCAAACTGTGGCTAAATATTGCTTGCCCTTGCTTCTCTTCTACTCTTATGTTGCAGTCTGGCTATTATGTGCAGCACATGCATTTGACAGTTCATGTAAATAATAAGTGAAAAAGATATTTAAAGCTATGTATACAGCAGAAAAGAATAGAGTTTAGCTGTACATTGTATACTATATAGCTGTAGTTACTTTTGTTGTAAAAATTTTAAGAAGTGAATGTCTGGGACACCCATTTCCTTCAATAAAAAACCAGCCTGTTTCCATCAATAATTTGGAATGCCCATACCTGTAGCACAAAGGACTGACATAAAAGTGGTCCCAGATAATTCTGATCTTCTTTATATTAAGAACTACCCAATTCTGATTGCATAGGATTGCATCTAGAAGCTCACAGAGAAATTCAAATAGCTTAAGCTATATTGTCCTAACTTTTAAATAAAAGTACTACACATATCTGCTTGTAGTTCCAACGCCACAGCAAACTGTAGGTACTTGTGCATCTCTCAACTTCCTGCACACACAGACACACGTACCAATCAGTGCTACCTAAAACTATCATATTAACTCCTCTTTCTGCCACTGTTTTCAATTTCTGAAAAATATTCTATAGGTACTAGTTTTTTCTTTTTCTTCCTATGCGTACTTAACTTATCCCTTTCCTCCTCTTCACCCCCCTCCACGCTCACGCACTTCAGTGAAAACCAATGACTTGGCAGCCCTAATTTGCTTAGTATAGGGAACCATGAGCATTCTTAAATTTATCAGAATTGTTGCCAATGTGCATCATCATAACATCAGCCCAAGCCAAAAATGATTAATTTTATTGTCTTCCAACAGTGAAACTACTTGGCACGCTGATGACAGAAAATACAGAAATAAATGCCTCACTTCTCTGAATCCAAAACATAGTTTGACACCACTAGTACACATTTCACAAAAAATAAAGAGTCTTGTGATGGTCAATTTTATGTCTTAACTTGATTTGGCTAAGGGATACCCAAAAAGCTGGTAAGACATTGTGTCTGGGTGTCTATGTGGATGCATTTGAATCTGTAGATTAAGTATAAAAGATCACTCTCACCAGTGTGGGCCAGCATTGTCCTATCCATTGATAGACCAAACAGAACAAAAAGGTAGAGGAAGTGTGAATTCCCTGTCTCTTGAACTGAGGTACCCATTTCCTGCCCTTGAACATCACAGTTCCTGGTTCTAGGAAACCCGGAACTACAACAGTGACCCCATTCCTATAATCATGTGAGCTAATTCCAAATCTCTTCTTATATGTTGATCCAGCCTATTGGTTCATGTTCTCTGGGGAACTTGGACTAATAAGTCTACAGTGTGTAGAACAATGCTATAACTCCAAATTAACATAAGTAATTCCTTCACTTGTAAAATCTTTTAGATTATCACTTAAATTAGAATTGTGTGTACAATTACCTGAAAAGTCTCCACTTTCCCAATTGACTAAAAGTAATTTTAAACTTTGCATTGTTTTGAAAATCATTATTACTCTAAAGTGCACACAATTGTGAGGACTGTTAGAACCTGAAAAAATTTACTTTATGTATTGGTTGAAAACTTTAGACAGGAAAGAAGGTTTTATCAAGGAAACAGGTTAAATCATTGTGTTTCTAATTCCTGGACATTTTTGTTATAATCATAATGTTAGCTTTCAGTGTGTTTTAAATGAACAAAATAGAATAATCAGTCATAGAGATCTTGAGCTATTAAGAGAGAAATGTGTTGAATAAAGGCTTGAGGAAGTATTTCTTAAAGCAAAATACTCTTAAGATCTTCTTAGCTTCTATACTAACCAAGTCAACTCTGAGATAATAGAGTTCTTGAAAATAACCTCAATTTTATAGATGTCTTTTTAGAGGATATATAAAGTTATTTCATTAATCAAAGAAACGCAGGGAGAAAGTACATTTTTCCTTGTGTACGATTCTATTCCTTTGATGATTTTCATTATAAGTTTTTCTTGAAAATAGAGTTTATATTGATTCATGTAAATCGCAGATATTAGCTGAGCTCCTCAAAACCTATAAGTCAATTACATTTTCGCAACTGCCTAAGGGTTGTTTGAATAAGGTGAAAGACAGACCCTGGAGACCTTACTGTGTTCCACTTTAATGTGTAGGATATAATTCCTGCAGTTCTGTATTATGTAATGTAGTATTTATTCCTGATCACATATTCTTAAAAACTGAGATCTGAATTTTCTAGAATGGTCTACTAAGTAGAACTGTACTACCCAAGAAATTGTTCACCCCGTACGAGCTCTAAAGAAACATATGTTGGATTTTTAAAAAGTCTTATTGTTGATCTCTTAAAAATAAAGGAGAAATTTTATTTTTCTCATATCACTTACATGACATTCAATTATATTTACTTTGTATGCTTCACAAGGTTACAAAAGCATATTTGAACTTTTCTGGAATTAACAAAACAAATGAAAAATGAGACTGCTGCATTGCTGCAAATCTAAAATATTTTTATATTTTTATGTTTGAAGCATCACAAATGGAAAAAAATCATCATAGGAAGCAAACTGAAGACTTTTCTTTACAGAAATATGGTGAATGAGGTGTTCTGAAAATGAATCTATCTAAAACCCTAAGAACAGCTTATGTATTATTTTAAAAAACTGAATTTCATTTTGACATAATTGTAGATTCACATGAAGCTGTAATTCATGGAAATTCTATATATCCTTTATGCGGTTTCTCCCAATGGTACGATCTTAAAAAACTACACCACAATATCATAACTAGAACATGGACATCGGTCAAGTCTAGCTTGTCTGTCTCTTTCTCTCTAAAGTTCAGTCATCTTGTGGCTTATTTTACTATGTAATGTCCAGGAATTTTTCTTTTTCAAGCAGAAGAATTAGGAAATATTACATCTGCGCTATCGTCCTAAAAGAAGAATTCTATAAGTTACTTTTAAAATGAAACCTTTTAGTAATATAACTGGAATCCTAAGAAAGGAACATCCTCGGAGGCTTCCCCAGTTCACAGCACGGACTTGATACGGTAGTAAAGTCGGAAGGCTGCCTCTTCCTGGGGGCGTTACTGTTCTGCAGGTCACAGAACTTCCTCTTTTCACGGCCCGGTGAGAGAACTGCCTGTCCAGAATTCTTTAATTATCAGAGGCAAAGGAAGGCATTTTTCAGACAAAAAACGAGAAATTTACTATGAAAGACCATTTGACCTCTGGTTATCCTTCACCAACCTACGTATTATGTAGTCTTGTATTTTATTTCTCACTTAGTATTCATTTGGGTCAGGACTTTCATGCTTTGAAGTAATCTCTTTATCCAAACAGGATAAGGATGCATCATTTCCGAACCAAAGGAAACAATGCAATAACAACAAAACTGTTGCAACAGATTCAAAGGAAGAGAAGATAGGAGAGACAAAGAAACAGAAAAAAAGGAATGAAGAAAATAAAATAAGATGGAAGAAATAAATTCAAAAGATTAACCACAACCAGTAAAAACCAGAGACATTTTAAATCCATTAGTTTCTCAACAATCTAAAAGCTTCACAATCCCAAGTATTGGAGAAAATGTGAGGCAGCCAGAACAGTTGAACACCACTGGTGGAAATCTAAGTTATTTTAAACATTTTGAAAAAAAAAATTGGAATTATCTAGTATGGTTGAGGCTGTGCATACGCCTAGGTCTATACGCTGGAAAAACTATGAGACACTGGCAATGAAATATTGTTTATAAATGTAAATATCTAGAAATAACTCGTATCCAACAAAAAGGGAATGGATATTAAATTATGGAATTCAATACTATGTAACACCATACAGGAGTGGAAATAAATGAACTTGAGCACAATCATCAATATGGTGGAATCCACAAATATGTCGAAGAGTGAAGAAAGGCAGAGAAGAATATATACTGAAGTATTCCATTCATATAAAGTTGTAAAAAACGAGCAATGTCATTACTGTTGGAGTAAATACACAGGTCTAGGAAAGAGGAGAGCAGCCCGATAGTCTGGGACCACCCGATACTGTCAGCAAGGTTTTTCGTAGCTGGCCTGGAACTCAGACCGAGGCCATGGCTTTCTCCTGTTGGACATAAACAAGTTCACAGAGCATGAAATCAGACAAGGTCATTCTGTGCTAGGATAGAGTGAGATAAAAAAATACAACTGCTTCTTGATCTGTCTAAGCGAAAACAAGATAAACTGCGAGGAGCGCAAAAAATTGTCCAACAGTCCCCTCTGCCTGCTAACATGAATGAGTTCTACCTTCGCCAGCTATAGCTTTAGTCTCCATATTGTCTGCCCTCCCTCCAAATAAGGTTTATTGAGA